CCGGGGTCCGCCCGACCCCCCGACCCGCCCTTTGGGTCCGCCCGCCCGACCCGACCCGACCCGCCCGTTAGGGTTCGCCGTGTACATGCACCATACTTTAAGTCCCGCCCGACCGACCCGACCCGCCCGTCAGGGTCCGCCCGACCCGACCCGCCCGTTAGGGTCCGCCCGACCCGACCCCCGCACGTTAGGGCTCACGCGTGTTAAGTGTACACGCGCCGTTAGGGTTCCGCCCGCCGACCCGACCCGACCCGCCCGTTAGGGTTCACGCGTGTCAAGTGTACACGCACCATACTTTAATGTCCCGCCCGCCCGACCCGACCCGCCCGTTAGGGTCCGCCGACCCGACCCGCCCGTTAGGGTCCGCCCGCCCGACCTGACCCGACCCGCCCGTTAGGGTTCACGCGTGCTAGTGCGAACATGCTCCACACTTTAATGCCTGCCCGACCCGACCCGACCCTTTTCTGGTCCGTCTGCTCGATCCGGCGGGCGGGCAAGGGGTGGGTAGGCTCAGGGTAGGCCTAGGGGGTAGGTCTAGGGGTAGGCCTAAGGGTAGGCCTAGGGGGTAGGCTTAGGGGTAGGTCTGGGGTACGCTAGGGGGTAGGCCTAGGCTAGGCCTAGGGGGTAGGCCCAGGGGTAGGCCTAGGGGGTAGGCTTAGAGGGTAGGCTTAGAGGTAGGCCTAGGGGGTAGGCCTAGGGGGTAGGCTTAGGGGTAGGCCTAGGGTAGGCCTAGGGGGTAGGCTTAGGAGTAGGCCTATGGTAGGCCTAGGGGGTAGGCCTAGGGGTAAGCCTAGGGTAGGGCTAGGGGGTAGGGCCAGGGGGTAGGCCTAGGGTAGGGCTAGGGGTAGGCCTAGGGTAGGCCTAGGGGTAGGCCTAGGGCAGGCCTAGGGGGTAGGCTTAGGGGTAAGCCTAGGGAGGCCTCTGGGGGTAGGCCTAGGGTAGGCCTAGGGGTAGGCCCTAGGGGTAGGCCTAGGGGGTAGGCCTAGGGGGTAGGCCTAGGGTAGTGCTAGGGGGTAGGTTTAGGGGTAGGTCTAGGGTAGGGCTAGGGTGTAGGCCTAGGGGGTAGGCCTAGGGTAGGCCTCAGAGGTAGGCCTAGGGGGTAGGCCTAGGGTAGTCCTATGGGGGTAGGGCTAGGGGGTTGGCCTAGGGCAGGCCTAGGGGGTAGGCCTAGGGGTAGGCCTAGGGTAGGCCTAGGAGGTAGGGCTAGGGGTAGGCCTAGGGTAGGCCTACCCTCCGGGCTCTATATGCTTAGGTCTACCTTAGGTCATTGGGTAAGGCCTACCCTAGGTCTACCCTAGGACCTTGGGTAGGGCCTACCCTAGGCCACCCTAGGGCCTTGTGAGGGCGTAGGGAAGGCTACCCTAGGGCCTTGGGTAGGGCCTACCCTAGGCTACCCTATTAGGCCCTTGGGCTCGGGGGCTCCAGAGCCCGACGTCCACCGGGGCTCCAGACCCCGTCTCCAAACGTTGGCTTTGACAGCGCGAGCCTCTGCCCTCTCGGGGCCCTCTTCGAGCCCTCTGAGGGGGTATCTGCAGCCCCCTATGCTACCTCTTGGAACCCGCTTGGGACTGTGGGGGGCCCCTCTTGGAGCTCTCCTGGGGATCTCTCGGAGCGCTCTTGAAGCTTCTGGCGCGAGATCTCGCGCTGTCAAAACGTCGGTGTTGACAGCGCGAGCCTCTGCTCTCTCGGGGCTCTCTTGGGGCTCTGTCGGGACGACCTGAAGCCTCCCCCTGGCGCCGATCTCGAGCTCTCTTGGGACTTGGGGGAGTCCCTCCTGGAACTCTCCTGGGGCGCTCGACCCGACAGGCCTATGCACAGGCTATGCATAGGCCTGTCGCGGGGTTTGGGTTCGGACCTGTGCATAGGGTACGCATAGGCCTACGCCGCATCCCCCACAGGCCTATGCACAGGCTGTGCACAGCCCTATCGCAGACCTACTACAGGGCTAATGCAGGCCCGGGCACAGGCCTGTGGTGAGGCTGTACGCACCCTACCGATAGCCATACCACAGGCCTGTCGACAGGCTATGCATAGCCCTGTCGTAGGCCTGTCAACAGCCTGTCCACAGGCCTATCATAGGCCTGTGGATAGGCTATGCATAGGCCTGTCGCAGTGTGTCCAGGTGTGCTCACGCGCCCGGCTCGGGCAGGGTAGAGACCTGTGCACACCCTATGCATAGGTCTCTGCATAGGCCTATGGTAAGCTGTGCACAGCCTGTCGTCAGGCCTGTGATAGGCCTGTGCACAGCCTGTCGACAGGCCTACGATAGGGCTATGCATCGCCTGTCGACAGGCCTGTCATAGGCCTATCGATAGGCTCTGTCAGGGCCTCTGCGCCTCTGGCGGCGTAGGCCTGTGCATAGGCTGTGGACAGGCCTATCATAGACCTGTCGACAGGCCGTGCACAGCGGATTGTTATCTCCGGCGGACGGAGGGGGGCCGCCCCTTCCCCGCGCGCTCCGCGCCCGACGTCGCGCTGCTGGTTGCCCAGCAGATGGTCGACTGGGGCGAGTTGCTGGCGGCGCTGCGGGCGGTCTCGCGCCTCGCGAGCTACTGCAGGTCGTCGGAAGGCTCGGGCCCGCAGACGGCCGACCTCGGGGCGCCGCGGCTTCCGACCTAAGCGCTCCGTCAGTGGCAGGGGGGGTAACGCGGGGGCTCCGTCGGGGGCGCAGCAGCCGAGTGGCCGCGGGAACGCCGGCAGCTCAACAAAGCGCTGGGAGGCGGCCGCCCGCTTGCAGCGCATGGAGGCTTGACTTCCTGAGCGAGTCGGAGCGCGTCCCGCCGCTTGTGCGGCGTCATTCGTCTGCGTCCGAACATTGGCAGGGAACGCGGGCATTGCGTCGAGGTCTGCGTTGGGCCCTGGCACCTCTCGCGCGAGCTTGCACGGCGGGGCATCAGATTTCACGCGCCCGACATTACCCTCGCCGCCGACCCGGGCATCCTCGGCCCCGATGCTGCGCAGGCCCTCCTGGCTCTCGCTCGCTCTGCTGCCCGCCGCCTCGTCTGGCTCGGGACCCCTTGGGGGGCCCAGAGCCCGAGAGGGCAGGGTGGGGCTGGCCCCGCCCCTCCTGGGATTCGGGCCCGGGGCTGCTCGGCCCCCCAAGCATGTGCGATAAGGGCTTTCAGATGGTCCCCGTAGGCGCCGCTCTTATCAGGGCCTCAGCGGCTTCGCGCGCGCCAGTATTCTGTTGGGGGTTCCCGCGGCGATCCGCGATCCCACGACCGCGCGAACCTGGCCAACCAGACCTCTCAATGCACTGTGGCGGCTGGGGGCTCAAGCCCTCGCCGCCAGATGTTTACTGCTAGCGTGGCGCCCGTCGACAGAAGAACTCGTCGCTGCTCGCTTCCCGCTGCCCAGAGTTGCCTCATGCCCCGACGTGGTCTCAGGACCGTCAGTACTCGCGGATATGAATGTTTCTCTGGCGGTGGGAAATAGGTATGACCACAAGGATGTGTTTGCTCGGGAACGCTGTCTGTGGAAAGGGGGACCTCCGCCGTCTGCATCCATCGTCCTTTGGGCACGATAGCTCAAGATTTGTTTGTTATCCTGGAGCCGACCCCTTATCACTTTCTTGTTCAGCAAAGCTTTTGGGATTCTGGTTAGTGCTGCGGTTTTACGATATGTGCCACCTGTCTGCTGGCCCTGCTCTCACAACGCACAGCACTCGAATAAGTCTGTCTCTAATGAACATAGCCACATTGCGATGATGGTGATGTTGATGGTGTTGGGTGTTGGTCATGATTACGGTGGTGGTGGTGTTGATGGTGATGGCACGGGTGGTTGCGATGGCGATAACGGCAATTGTGCGCATCTAAACGATGGCAGTGGTGTTGATGGCGTTCATGATGAGGGTGGTGATGATGGTGATTGTGATGGTGACGGTGATGATGGTGATGCCGATGATGGTTGATAATAGCATGGTGATGACGATGCCGGCGAATATGCAGATGATGTTTCTGCGGGTGACGATGGTGGGGGGAGGAAGCATCATGAAAAATGTTGCGCTGGTAGCTGAGTGGCGATACGAAGTATATTCATATGATACGGTGAAATTGGTCGAAGAGTATGAAACGGATCGGGAGGAGGAGGGGGAAGTGGAAGAGGAAGAGGGAGGAGGAGGAGGAGGAGGACGAGGAGACTCGAATGCAATAGCGCGCGCAGTAAACAGGCGGGTCGAAGGTAGGGGGTACGAGGTTGACGGAAGTACGATGTTCAGGAGGATGATTCTGAAGATGGGGTGCTCCGTGCGTTTCTAAACATGTTCGGGCCCGCTTCGAAACGTGCTCGGGCATTTTGGGACGGCGGAGACCCCCAGGGACCTCCGAAGAACGTCCACGATCAGCAAGGAAACGAAACAAGGACGGACGGGAGGACCGAGGAGGCCTCGACGAGACGCGACCGCGGTGCCGTTGCTTGTGCCCCGCCCGCTTCCCCTTCGTTTTCCATATTCCCCCCACTTCCCAGTCGCTCCGCTTCAAGAGTTGCCGGCATCCTCCTTCCTGTCTAGGCTGTCTTTTCCAAGCAGCCTTCCTGCGGCGGGGTACGCCTTCCCAAGGATGCCTAAGTGGGCCGAGCGGTACCCCAGGCAGTCCTGGGAGGTGTTGCCCCCGCCCCGCGTCTATCTACATCGCTGGGGCCCAGTTCTTGCAGAAGGAGACTGCGGGATGCCCCCTATGCGCCTTTGCCTTTGTCTTTGCGTTTGCCCTCTCCTCCTGCTCCTCCTCCTCCTCCTCTTCCTCCTCCTCTGCCTCCCCCTCCTCCTCTTTCTCCCCCTCCTCCCCCTCCCCCTCCTCCTCCTCCTCCTCCTCCTCCTCCTCCTCCTCATTATCATCATCCCTCTCTTTTTGTTCCTCCCCCCCCTCCTCCGGGGTATCATCGTTCATCCATCCATCCGTCCTTCTTTCCATCCGTCCGTTTTTCCGTCCGCCCGTGCGTCGATCCATCCGTCCGTCCGTTCATCCATCCAACCCGCCTCCCTACGTCCACCGCCCCTTGCCCAGGCCCTGGAGGGCGCACCTATTGGGTGGGCTCGGATACACCGCTACCACCACGTGCACTCCGACAAGGAGCGCGCATCGCGGCGCGCCCTCCGCCTGGCCGAGAGAGGCGCGGAGCCCCGCGGGCCCTTTGCTAGAGTTTCGTCTCCTGCTTTCGTTTCTATCGTTTCGTGGAAACGTGCAGTTCGTGTTTGCTGGGGTTCGGGCTTGCCGACGCTGTTTGACGGACCCGTCCTGGACTTTGACTGTCCAGCCGTCGTGGGATATTTCCAGTTGGAGTTCGTGTCAAATTTCAGATCGAGTCTCATAATTTTTCTGATGGCGCTGTGAAGCCAAGTCGAGTCCTCCGAATTGAAATCTTACGTCTATGCGATCATCGTCGTCGTCGGTATCGTAGTTGTCGTCGTCGTCGTCGCGTCCCCGTCGTCCTCGGCCAGAGGTTTTTCTGGGCGTCCATGGACTTCTGCGGGGGCCCGCGGAGCATTGAATGACGGTGTGATACGTGCAATGAACAGGAGGGGGTCCTGGGAGGTTTTCGCCGACCTCGGGCTGCAGGGGCCCTTCCCAGGCCCCAGGACCGTCAACAAGAAGCAGCTCGAGATGAACACCATGCTTTGGGGAACACCTTGGGGATCAGGACCTGTTTCCACAATCGATTTCGATCACGCCTAGACCTCTGTTCCTGGCCCAGGGTGTCGAGTCCCCAGTTGTCCGCGCAATTTGGGAGCCTCCTGGGCCGGTGAGCGGTGCTGTGTTCTGACAGCAGTGGGGGCCTCCCTGAACATACGGTACACCCTTTGGGGGACACATTCCCTCCCTGGCACATGTGATTGGCGCAGCCCTTGAGTAAGACTGCAGGAGCAGAAATAATCGAAAATGAAGAGAGCCAAGAGGAAGGGAGTACAGGAAGGGAGGGAGGAGGCAAGGAGGCACGGGAGGAAGGAAAAAGAGGGATGAGCAAGGGGGATTGGCAAAGAGGATGGCAAGGAAGTCTCAGATCCTGAGTAAGTTATGTTATGAGGAACTCCCGAGCAAGATCACGATTCCAGAGCGCCGAGAGGGCGATTTGTGAAAACAACTGTCAGGAAGTGTCGAGCGAGAGCGCGATTCCTGGATACATTGCAAGGAAGTCCCGAGCGAGAGCGAATTTCTTAAATACAATGTCGGGAGGTATCAGGCGTGTGCCGCTGTTGCTGTAGACTGGGGGCCAACGACGCAGTCTGAGGCGCAGTATTTTTTCCCTCGTAGAACGACAGAGTACGGGCCCTGGGAGGGGCACTGCAATCTGAAAAAACAGATGCACCAGATGGGGGATCAACAACATACTTCGATATGTTTCATATTGTTCATTCTTATCTGCTCGCGGGTCAATCCACATGAATATCCCAAACCCTCGATACCCGCCCTCTGTGTTCCTGTTCCTCTTTGCTGCTCCTACACGTTATCCTCCTCACTGCGATCGTCGCGCACATCCTCTCTTCTCCTGCTCGTTCCCCATTTTCATTTCGGCTGCCGCGCTCTTCACCAGGAGGAGGAGGAGGAGGAGGAGGAGGAGGAGGAGGAGGAGGAGGAGGAGGAGAAGGAGGGGGAGAGGACGACGCACAGAAGAAGGACCCCAGAACTCCAGATCTCCAGAGCTGCTATGACATTACTGCGTTTTTGATCCTTGCGATTCTGGACATACCGCTCCTCAGTGGCTCCTTAGTGTCTTCCAGGGACCCTGGAGGCCAGGACATGGTCATTGCCTCCCTCCAGGGGCAGGCGCGGAGGAGGAGGAGGGAGACTTTGACGTTTTTGGCTCTCTTCGGGCCCCCTGGGGCCCCGTCTGGGGGGACTCGGAACGGGCCTCCCAGATGCCGAACGCCGCGGCGCGTCGCGGCGCCGCGCCGCCGCCCCGCAGAGGAGCACGACGTCCACAGCCCGGTCGACGGGGTGCTGTGGTCGCACGTGGGGCACTTGCCCGCCCCTCGGGCCGCCGTGGCACCGGAGACCCCCGATGCAGATTTGGGGCGCCGGTGACGGGGTTCGGCGCCAACGGGACTCGTCGAGGGAAGACACACGGGGACCATGACCAGGATGGCGGGGGATCGCCTCGATGCCGGATTTGGTAATGGTCCATGTTGGCCGTAGCCGATCCGCGAGGATGATGCACGAACTGACGCTGACCAAGTTCGACGCTGACCAAGACCGACACCACGTTTCCGCGTTCAGTCTTGGTCATGGTCCCCGTTTTTTTTCCTCTCCAGCTCAGCCGACCGATCCCATGTGATCCCCTCTGGTTGGTCTGGGCCTGGGGGCCACGCAGAGCCATCCACGCGGATCCCATCGCTCCGTTGACCTGGGTTTGAGAGTTGCTTTGTGGCCGGCCTGGGTTCGCGATATGGCCCTGCCTGCCCCTGGCTGGCGATGGCCAAGGTCAGCATGTCCCCGATGCACATTCGCGCCGTTTGGTCGGCCACGAAATCCAGGTGTGTAGCAGCTTCTTTGGAAGCGGGAGAGTCCTATTGCGAAGGCCTTACGGCCGGTGCCGCCGAGCCTGAAGGGGGACGACGACGACGGCGACGACGACGACGACGACGACGACGACGACGCTGACGTGGGTCAGAGTCCTCAGGGATTATGTTGGGGTCAGTTCGGAGCGCTCTCGGAGGCCTCTGGGGGCAGTTTTGGGGGCCCCTTGGGAGCATCTTGGAGGCCTCTTGGGAGCCTCTTGAGAGCCTCTTGGGGCTTCCTGGGGGCCTCTTGGCGGCCTCTTGGGGGCCTCTTGGGTCCTCCTGGGAGCCTCTCGGGGCCGAGGGCTCAAAATGTCCATTTGGTTCCCCTGTCTGGGGGGGACCTCTTGGAGCCCTCTTGGGGCCTCTTGGACCGTCTTGCATGCGTCTTGGGCCGTCTTCGGGGGGTTGGCCCGTTTCGGGACTCTCTTGGAGGCCTCTTGGGGCGATCGTTGGAGGCCTCTTGAGGCCTCTTGGATCGTCTTGGAGCGTCGGGAAGCTGAAAAGGCGAGAACGCCCGAATCCTTGAAAAACTTACGGGAAATCGTTGACGTCTGCCTCTTAAAATTCTCTTGAGAGTGCTCTTCGAGGCTTCTGCGGGCGTCTTCCACACCTCCAGGGCCGTCTGCAGGCCGTAAAGATGTCTTGAACGATCGTTCGGCGATTCGGGGTCCTCTTGGACTGTCTTGGGGGCCTCTTGGGCCTCTCGGGGCACTCTTGGCTCGTCTTGCGACTTTTTGGGGGCCCGGCCCCGGGCGAGTTCTACTTCAACATCGCCATCCGTGGCCGACCAGCAGACGTGGTGTGTGTATATCTATGTATACACCGAGCCACTCCCAGGAGGGTTTGCGCGCCCCCCGCCACGTCGTCGTCGTCGACGGCGGTCAAGGCTTTGAGGCGTTTTGTGCCTTTTTCGGGCCTCAGGGAGGCTTGTGTCGCCACGGCTCAATTCCCGTTGAAATTCTGTTCAAAACGCAATGGTGGGGGCACGGTTTTGAGGCAGGGTTGTCGTCGTAGTCGTGGTCAACGTCGTTGGTGACTAAAGCGAGCTGAGGGACATAAGGAGCAGAAGCGAGCGTGCGCCCGCGGCCGCGTCGGCTCAAGCGGCCGGCCGCGCAGATATTATGGTCCTTCATTGTGAGGCATACGATTAGCCATCGAGACCAAAAGGACCTTCCTATTGCTTAAGATGGTACGCCCTTTTACTACTGGGACTACCGTTGCTGCGGTACAACAGAGCTGGTCGCCTAAGGCGAAGCTGCTGGTTGGGCCTCCCAACCCTTTTCAAATTTGGTTGCGGAGCTGGCCTATGGTGGTCAGCTCTAGCTCTACTCCTCGTCATCCACGGCACTATCTGGTGGACTACGTGGTGGAACATCAGGGTGCAGTAGGTTTGCGCGGGGGAATGTATGTAACTACGCAGTATAGCAAGGACACTTGCAACGACACCTTCGCTTACGCGGAGGCCTCGTACTTTCGTCCTACATCCTTGCGCTACTACACTCCTGAAGTCCACCCACCTATTCCAAGTGGCAATTTCTTCGAAAACGTAATGCATGGAAACATGCGATACGACGCGGTGCCGCCTCCACCCCCAAGCAGATTTACAACCACACATCACGAGCCCAAACCTACTACATCCGACTACGACCTGCGAGGCCATTGGATTGGTGTTACTATCTTTGGGCTCACATGGGTCGCTATCGGGTGCTCGGTAGGACATATGCGTGGTGGAGAGACGATACAAGAACGACCGGCCTTCATTGGGGTCCATCTGGTCAGGTACATTTCCGTAAATTCGCTCGCGAGGCACATGCTTGGATCAACGTGACCACAGGCACCGTGACACCCTCCCAGCAAGCTGCAGCCCTGCAGCGAGGTTTGGGAGGTCTCGCACGGACCATAGCCATGAGAGCCAACCCCCTGCAGTTATCAACTTTGGCACTAACATAGGTGGTCGCCATACCGGCGGCGTTACCTACATCATGTTCTTTTTAAGCACGAAGTTTGAGAAGTTAGAAGAGGAACGCCACTTTAACTCTGGCACGGTACAGCTCTCATTGACTTCCGAGTCCATGCGGGGGAACGCATCGTCCAGACGTTAGCACGCTTCGATATAGCCCGCTATGAAGCGGAAACGGCAGGCTTCAACATCCCCAAGTTGCAACTATTAACAGGGTTTTATTCAGAACACTTGGAGTGGGGACATCTTGTGCACAACAACTCCTGCAGCCTCTAAACCACCACATGCCGAGAGACCAGCAACCGTTTGACGCTCTACTCGAGCGCGCGAGGTCATATGCTCACACTGCTGAGAGAAACCCTGGTAACTTCTGTATTTTCAGTCACGGTCACCGAACCGAGACCATTCACGCAGAGGCTCAAGCATGGCAGGCTGCTAACAACGTCTGGAACGACGATCCACAACCAACTGAGACCACTACACTACTGGCTCAGAACGGTGGTTCGGCCTCGGGGTCGCAAGACTCCTGGGCCAGGTTTCGGGGGCCGCCCGACGCGGTAGCCCCTGCGCAAGCCATGGCCCTAATGGGCTCAGCGGGGCAACCTACCGAGTCCGACTTCGACTCCGGTACTGACGCAGATGCGTCTTCGGACGGCGAGGCCACGGGCTTTGATTACTCCGAAATGCCCACATACCTCACGGACGAGCAACAGGCGTAATGGTTATCTAAAGGATACCAACAACATAAGCGCCGATGGAGGCGATTCATGAAGAAACCCGTCCGTAAAGTACGGCATATCGAACGACGAGCGTTCGAGGGGGAAGGCAAGGGTCGAAGTAAGGGTAAAAAGGCGAGCGTCGGCGATTGCATGGCAGAGGCATATTAGCATTCCTAGCTTCACTCACCGGGCCACAGTATGAAGACATGATTATAGGCGCAGGCAGCAACCGCAGGCGCGCATTAGGAAAAGGTCAAGGACGTCGGGGAAGCCCGAAGGATGCCAATGGTAAGACAATTGAGTGCGACATATGCCACAGCGCACAGAACTTTCGCCGCGAATGCCGCCCAGGCGATGGGGGAGTCAGGGGTCCGTCGATGCATCTGGTCGAGAACTGCTGCGCGCCCGCCGAAGGCGAATCAGACATGGCGGGGGCGCTCGCGGATATAGAAGTCATTATTTCTGCAACAGACGAGGAAATACAGCTGGTGCTCTATGCTCGGCTCATTGGGACTCCGACAAACATGGAATTAAGTGACGACGACCCTGTGCGGGGAAACCCGCGAGACGCTAGTGATCTGTCTGAGCGCATTCAATGTGAGCTTGGCCACAATGAAAGATTTCCTTGCGCATTCGTTGCTTCGGACCGCTCTATGGGCCGCCAGAGGCGGTCGGTGAGCCGCCAGGTCAAGAAGAAAAAGTACTGCGACGATGATGACGACGAAGACTTGGCAACTGACGGTCGTCTGGAACGCCGCGGTCGAATTCCCAGTCGCTCACCTAATCGCGCGCGTGAACGTTCCAGCTGCGCTCGCTCGAGCGGCCTGCAGCGTCCTCATCCTCCTGATGCGGTGCTCCCCCTCCATGGCGGACCTAAAGACCTGGCGCCCCTCCTAGGAGGGGCCGCCTGCGGGGGCGCCCGCCCCCAGAAGATCAACCTCGAGAGCAACATCAAGATGGCGGAATGCATCGTCTTCTTGGCTATGCGGAAGCTGGATTGGCTCGTCAGCGCATGCCCTCAGATACTACGCAGTAGTGGCTGAACAAGGTGGGGCCGAGCACCGGCTTCGTCACTGGCATTCTCTTCGCAATATTAAACGAGATGAAGATGGCAAGATCATGCGCTCAAAAAAAGAAATGACCTGTCAAACCGCAGGATGCTCATCGAGCGCGACCTCAAGAGAGCAATCGCCGAGGAAGGGAAGCTCTACAGGAACGTTTGTTGCTCGTGCCCCGAACGCGCCGTCCGCAGGCCTGGTTGCCCCGTGAGACGCCCGTCAAGAAGCCCGAGCTTCGAGAAGGACACCGTGGTTTGGTCTCATGGTGATGGTCGGGGCTATTGCGCCGATCCTAATTCAACGCCATATGAGGAGCAGGTGACGGAGAACGACTACGATCACGCTACAGCCGAAGAAATATCCCGATCTCTCTTTATATGGAAACACCTGCCACCTTCATCATCTGAAGCAGTTCAATCGCGATTGGCACGCGGGGAAACCTGCTACTCCCAAATCAGGAGAGGACGACCAACAAGAAGCTGATGAAGACGCAGTTGGTGCCATGGCTGAAAAGGTAGACCCCGCGGAAGAGGCTCCTGGAGAGACCGTCTCGGAGCATTCCGACGCGCGCCCCCTTGCCGCGTGCGTCACTTGCGATGTGGACCTTCCTACTGATCCTAGATATGTCGTTACTGAAACGATGGGTATTTCTCCAGGAAGACGGGTCGTTTGCCGCGCTGGAGCTGGAGAATGGGCAAGGGCTGCTGTCGACTGGAGGCGTTGTGT